TATTTCACTAAACCTATAGTAGTCATTCGATAGCTAGAAAAATAGTGAAAAGTTTTGTATTTGGTCTGGTTTAAGTGAGAACCTTCTTTAATGCGCATTTAAAAACGACGCGGACTACGCATTATGATGCTGTGAAAAGAGTTGAATTCACTCGTATCTATCCAGAACTTTCGCCTAATAGAACTATTTCGTAGGACTTTTAGTACGAGGTTTGGTTTTCGAAAGGGTTTTTTGTTGTATTGCGCTGTAACATGAAGAGAAGATGTCTCGTCTTCGGAGTGATTAGACTCATTATCACCTACAACCGTACTAGTATCACGTACTGTCTAGTATTTCATTACGTACGAGTCAACATAATGTGGAGATTTATGCCAATCATGACGTCATCTTAGTACCTCACATTAAGTGAATGCCGACTTAATGAGGGTTACTCGCTCTAATTCTCGACACGACTTACTTTAGCCTTCCATAGTAAGATCTCATCGGCGCTTCATTAAAAGCTGGACGACACAAATTTCCTCAATCTGTAACGCCATGGATTGGTACGCATAGTTTGGTAATGACCTGAAATAGTTACGGGAGCTGATTACGTGGTTACGGATATTTTTTGCCTATTTATCTACAATTCCCGAAATGTACACTGGGTACGGCCTTTACAGCCCTCCAAAAACCTCTATAATTCTTTCAACTTCTTTATTGATGCACGTTAACCATTTTGTGAATCAAAGTATTAGAACGATGATCTCAAAAAATTAGGTTGCCGAGTATTTACTTAATACTGATCAATGAATAAATACTGATTTCCATATCTCCACATGTTCGGTGTCGCTTGAGGAACGACCTAAAATATCTGGCTTAGTAATATTTCAGATCACGGCTAAACTTACTTACTAATCTCGTTAATATAAATTCATAGTAGCATAAGCATCTTGACTGAGTGTGAAATATTGTTTTTGTGGCCTTATTATACCGTTTGGGACGTACTCGAGTGGCTGATCTTTCGTAGCCTAGAATAGCTATTTTTCGTGACATAGGCATTCGTTCCGTCACTCTTCTCCTAGGCCCCCCTCTTTTTTAGTAGCCCTATGAAAAAGGTGTTCAAAAGGACGTGGTCTGGGAAGTTGTATGGCAGTTATAAGCACTTTCACCTCCCATCCTGTGCCGTCAACTAGTCCGCAATCGGCTTTACGATTGATTGTGCAACTCAGAAAAACTGTATAATCTGGCCGAACGGAAGGGAGGGGAATTTCATGAGTTTCGACACAACATATAGATAAAATTTGAAGAATGCGGGGATGAATACACATTGGTGAAAACGGATAGATCACTTTGTATCCATATAAAAGGTCGTCTAGATGATAAATTCAGAAATCGAGATAGTACGCCTCTAAGTACACATAGGACACAAAAGCCCAACGGTAGTGGTTTTGAAGTGACTGTCATGACCCTGGTTCACGAATCAAAAGCATCAATGCGCAAAAACTCGTGCAGGATTTTGGCTGAACGCTAGAATGCAAAAAATGAACCGGGAGGACGGATGTGCCCCTATCACGCGAGAAATGGGGTCCTGTCTTCCTTTGATTTGGCTTAGTCGGTATACAAATGCGCTGATAAACCACCGAATCATTCGAATATCACAAAAACTACTACTGGAAAGCTGTCGCGAAGAGCGAAGTGGACATGAGTTAAGAATGTATCCCAATCAGGTAGAAAATAGAGCGGCATGGTGCGAGGTCACACGTGATGACAAGGCATCACTCCCCAGTTTTTTTTCCATATTTGGTTGCATATTAGTTCTACGGTTCCAAGTTTTAGAGAATGTGAAATCGTCGAATTTGCATGCAATATAAATTTTGATTCTCAAATCCCTCTTTTATCAACTTGTTTCCCCAAGAAAAAAAGACGCTACTGGTGGTCTTAATTTTAAGAAGCCCTTCAATTACTGAATGAGGCTTACAGCACAAACTCCACTATTTGTCCGAATCAACTAAAAAGTGCAAAACTTTCGCGTCAGGCGGGACTCAGACTCGCGTCTCACTCTATCCGGGAGCGCGTGCTCTAACCGTTTGCATTACTGACGCCCGTTTACGGTCTGGCCCAGGTAGTCGTTTATCGACATTGAACCCGGTCACGCTGACAGATACTGGGTATTAGATGAACAAATTTAATTCTTTTAATTTGCCCAGATGTAGAGTGATGTGCAAAACCTTGTAGCGTAGGAGTGGAGATCGAAGGGGCGTCAGTAGTGCAACGGGTTAGAGCACGCGCTCCAGGATAGAGCGTCATGTGGGTTCGAGTCTCGCCTGAGGCAAAAGTTTTGCACATAACTCCACATCAATGGGTTAAATCTAAAATATCACACCACCGCTATAAGCGGTTGAATAAAAAGGAATTATATTTGATCAGATAGAAAAATTTAGCAAAGAGTTCAGATCGAGGTGCGCGCTCAACGTGACTTTGTCTTCGTTATACTTATCGCTATGACTACTTTTTTTTGGAGATTACCACTGAGGAATCTGTGTCCGATTTATTGCGGAAGCGGGGGGTCCGCCCCTGGGGGTGTACAATGAAATCAAACGCTGATGAAAGTGAAGATGTACTTCCGTAAGACGTAGTGGATTCAATAGACAAACTCCCTCTTTTGCAGTACCGGTCTGCCACACCTTTTCTTTGAGTCAAAATGGCCATTGACCTGCAATAAAGTAGCTGCGAAGCAAAGGGCGGAGGGAGGGGTTTAGGAGTAGCTCAAGTACCCGTGAGTACCCAGCTGCCATGTTCGAAGCTTATAAAGGTGTTCGTTCTGTATGAAAAGCTAGACGCACAAACGAAAAAGGACCTCATTCTCTGACCTTCAAAAAGCCAATTATAAGGGGCAATGCTGAAAAGGATGAGAACAAATTTGTGCTTATTATGCCACGTACACTTGCACACGAATCTTCCATAGAGGACTAATTAATGAATACAGGTAGGATGAGGCACGGCATTATCGGCTTGACTTAGATCAAGACGCCACCCATTTAGCGCTGTCTATAACATCGAGTAAGAACTGCTTTTTGGAACATGTGACAGTGGCGGTGTCCGTGACGTTATCGCTAGAACAAGAACTTGAGCATCGATTCATTTGAACGACTGATTTGTCGAATTGAACGATTACGGTTGAAGAGATATGGATAATGCTGGGTCCTTGATTATTTTCGCTATTCACGAAGCAGTATCATATTACAGAAAATACGAAGTCGCGACGGTCTGTAAGGACTTAGAGATATTATCAAAGAAGACTACACAATTTCCAAGGTCACCATCAGAGGTTTTACTTCGAAATTCAGAGCTAGAAGAACGCTCGAAGAATAACTGGAAAACTCACGGACTAGAAAGAAACAAACAAGATGAAAAGTTGTCTGAGTTTGTTATGACGACCAAAACCATCTAAGGTAACTCAAAATTTCAAATGTCCCAAATTCAGGGTTAGACTTGAGAATCGTTCATTAGTGAATACCATAGAAATAGAAGACGTCTTAATAAGTCGAAGGTTCTGCTGACCGGTGTCGCTGTTGTTCCAAAATTCAACATGCCATCAGGCCACCGCCATTTTCGCGCAAAATTTCGTTTCTTGCGGACTGAAGTAAACGCTACTAAGTCTGGACAGCGAACTCCATGACTACCATCGATCCGGATATATTCAAACTTTAGTCCTTGAAAGAATAACGTCATCAACAATATTGAAGAAGAATACGATCCGCTCATCCAACATCTTCACTTTATCGAGCTGAGAGTTCGAAGATCACCAGCACATTTTGTCTGCACGAATATGCCAACACGGTACGGAACACTGAAAATATACGTTCAAACTCACAGCGCGCTGCAGAGAAGCGATGAAAAAGGTCATGAATAGAAAAGAGCTGCAGCCATGGCCGAATCGCAGGAGCTAAAAAGAACAATATTCGCATAGCTCACCGAACTTTCGCCAATTACAAAGCCAGAATGATTGCATTCGGAAGTCTAGACGAACAACTACACTTTCAGAAAAGAAATGGAGAAAAGCATCCACAAATTTGCTGAAATTTCTTTGCACCCGCTTACTTCCACCAACATACGAAATAAAACAAGATGAATTTGCCCTTTAACGGTTCTCCCTCTCGAATCCAATATACCATTTTGTTGGTAGAGACTCGAGCAACCCTGGTCAACAGGAAACAACACCGGAACACCTGAAAAACCTATCACCAGCTCTCATCAACACTGCCTCGGCTCTTCACTCATTACTCGTCACATTGCAAGGTTCCCAGTTAACGGAAACCAGCAAGACGGTGTTTGTAAACAAAAACGGAGACCTTCACGAAATTGACAGCTATTGCCCGATCTGCTTCCTGTGCAACGTCTACAAACTCTTCAGTCGAGTCGTCCTGAACAGGAATATCGAATTATTAAAAGAAGAATAGAAATGCGAGCAAGCAGGATTTCAAAAGGAATTGAGCACTATGAATTACAGCCACGCGCTATCGAGGCTCGATGAAGATTCCTAAGAGTACAGAAGACCGCTTTCATATTTTTTATCGATTTGAAGGAGGCTTTGATTCAGTCGAACATCGAGCAGTTATAAAACTTCTGAAATACCTGGTATCCCTATTCACCTCGCAGGGATTCTTAGTGGGCTGTGTGAAAATTTCTTACCGAGATATTTCTATTCGATAACGATATCACAAGCGACGTAAGAGAAGTGATTCGCCAAGGTGATACCGTCTCGATAAAATTATTCACTATCACCGTATAATGCTCGTGCGAAGATTGGAATGGGACAACATGTGAGCAAAGATTCATGGTTGACAATTATAGCATCATTGCTTCACTGATAACATATATAATCAAACATCAGCCAGACTAGACAAATGCTGACTGATTTTGACAACGTTTGTGCAGTAAACTGTACTCACTAAGGAAAAACTATGTTTGTTAAGAATGGATTGATTCTGTTTATCCCATTGAAGCTCAACGGTGTGAGTACCTTTGATTGCTCCAGGTGCGTCTGTCTAAGTTACGAAGTAAGTATAATCAACGACCTAGCTGCGGAAATCAGCAGGTGTAGGCGGGCTGCTTGGAAGCGTTTGAGAGTATCAAGGATGCAGTGGAGAGAAAAAACAACTGACTACGTTTTCGACTAAATGATTATCTCTGACTTAACGTATGCATCAGAAATCTGGTTGCTACGTAAGCCCAATAAAAAATTTCTTGACATTACTGTAAGCGCTGTTGAAAGGTTGGTGCTAGGAGTACCCCGTATCACGCTAATGAGACAAAGGATTCAAAGTTTCGACGTGCGTCAACTATTTTTGAAAATCGAAAACGACGTTCCACACGCTGATTCATCAAAGTAAAGTGAGCTAGACGCAGTACGTTTCGACGTGAACCGATGGACGAGAGTCGTTAACGACTGGATTGCTTGAGGTGTCAAGCGCTTCGCAGAAAAAACCACCAATCCTGTGCTCTGACTTTCTTTACAAGAAACCTTAAAGGGAAAAAATTATGCATGACATAAAATTTTCATTCTACTCCTTTTCCAGTAGCTATACATCTATGAATGTTAAGTGCATGCATAACAATCGACACCAGGCAGGGGTTAAAACCAGCGTCTCATCCGTACCGAGAGCGTGTGCTACCACGGTGACATCACCGAGGCCACTGCTTTACTAACACTACTTCTTTGATATGAACTATGGTAGCTGTCAACAATCAGCCTTTAACGAAAGTGGTCGGGTGGGCACTTATCGACATAAAGCCCAATTGAGCCGACCATTAATGGATCTATAATCCATATAAATTCTTTATTCACTCGTTTCAACAGTGACATTATACTATAAACGTACATCTAAGAATGTTAAGTAGTGTGCAAAGCATTTGAGTCCGGGGGAAATTGAACACGCGTCTTATCCATACTCGGGGCTAGTTCACATGCTCATCGATGTGATGCCTAGCGATTCCTAAATTAAGGAGGATCCATTGGACTGCTGTGGCATGCTACAGGAAAAATGGAAGTGGTACCGCTCGAATCTCTCGCAGGATCAACGAGCGACAGGTGATCAGTGATATCCTTTTAGAACTCGGTGGCTTTGTAAGTGCCTAAGTAAGAGTTTTTTCAACTCTCTGCACACACAATGGCTGCTGCGTGTTTTGTGAAATGATTTTCTGAATATGTAAAGTGAAAACAGCGACAATAGTCATTTCGTTTTTATTGTTTGACCTGCGCTACCACTTTGTAGTGCACCGGTTCTCAAGCGGACTGATCCAACGCTCAAAAGCGGAATACAGTCTTCTCTTTATTTATTCCGGGTAGAACGTATGTACTCTGACCGTCAATTTAAATTTAGAACACTTGTACATCTCTTCCATCACTGATAAAGGAAAAAATATTTGCCGATGTACTCAGTAGAGTAGTCCCCATAATGGAGTAGGAGGCTATTGCTCGGGCTTGAATACAATGGTAACAGTTCCTTACATGTGTTGGTAGGACACTCTTTGCATTGAAGATTTAGGAACATCTGCGCGCTCCCGAGAAGGACTGGGACGCGTTTTCATAGATGGGCGGGAGTTGAGTTACAAACCACGTTCCTCTTTGTTTTTTTTTGGTCATCTATACGAATAAGGGTAGGCTTTACTTTGAACATTCAAGATTGGTGGGTGCAAGATTATTAGTGAATTCTGTTTTATGGGTTTTGATAAGTAATTATAAGAGGGACACGTTGGAAGCTTCAATTTAAGCTTGAAGCAACTGATGGCTGTAAAGGAGCTTTCCTTCTCTTTATGGTCGGCAGGTGACTGTCAGATTTCACCGCGTGGTGATGAACTGAATGCATTCGTAGGCTCTAGAAATTCCTTGTATAGATCAAGTATGCATCGGTTCACCCCTGCTGTGGTGATACGTAATTTTCTATTTCCCTAGCTGTGAAACTGAATTTCGCAACAATAGCATCGAAATTTCTTTTTTATAACTGTGTTTCTTTTCTTATCACGATTTTTGTTCTATTAGTCAGTTTATTTCCTTAGTTAGAAAGTAGAGAGGAGTTTGTAAGGAATTTTGCTCGGCATACGTCAGCCCTATATAACAGACCGCAAGCGTGGCTCAAGAAATGATTATCTGGCATATTGAAAATATATTCTAATTCCGCAGAAACGCTGTATACTGGTACTGATAAGGCTCTCGGTACTTTTCAAAAGCATATCCTTTAACTTTCCTGTTCATTTACAGGGATGCAGGTAAAGGGTGACAAATGGAAATGTTAACATGTCTGTTTTTGTTGCTTCTAAATGATTTTTTTC